AACGGGAAATTCCTGAAGTGCACAAACTATCCTGGGAAACCGGGTATAAAAGGAAGGCCAGGTCAAAATGGCGGCTATGCTGGAAGATCAGGTATGGTAAACCATAAAAATGGTTAAGTCAACACTGTTTTTAATTTTGTTGTACAGTCAAACCTCTCCACAACGGCCACATTGGGGACAAAGGAAGGTGCTTGTTATGGGGAGGCAGCGGTGTAATGGGACACCTTGTTTTCTGTGGTCTTTTTGGGGGGTGGGGGGTCCAAGGTTTTCATCTCTAAAAAGGCTTATTGCAGCATGTAAATACGTAGAACAATCCAAATATATTATTAAAGCAGAAACAGACACCGAGGACGTGATGCAAGGGTAGAATTTCCCGACCTTTTACACTAGAAAATGGGGTTTTGTAGATACCGTTCGTCAATCGTTGATTAACTGGCGGTTGGCGAGAGGTTGTTTTGAATTTAGTGGCCGTTGCAATTGTGGAGAGGTGGCCGTTGTAGAGAGGATAAAATAAGAATGAACGCATGGGCTATCCGCCGGGACCCAAAAAAGTGGCCTTTGAAGCTAAAGAGAGGTGGCCGCTGTAGAGAAGTGGCCGTAAGTGGAGGTTCTACTGTAGTTGTTTTACTTTTAGCTGATAATGGAGTGACTTTGCTTATCTTTTCAACTGAATGAAGACCCATTATAAATTTTTAAAAAATACGGTTTTCCAATCCCTATAACCTTTAAATACCTCCAGCCTACAAATGTACTTCTGTCAGGTAGAGCCCGCCTGTAGTCATTATAAGGAGGGGACAGGATTTTGTTCACGTAAACGTGTATATTTGTAAATTCTCAGCAAGGTGCTATCACCCACCGTATTACCAAACCAGAGCTTAGAACTATCAGGGAATCGAACGCTAACATACAGTTATCAGTTGAAACAGTGTAAAAGTAATATTTGTCTGTGTTTGCACAAGGAAATGGTGGTAACGCTGGACACCTTACCCTTTACGTCAACAAACGAGTACGTGGAAAAGTGGCTCTGAAAACATGTGCAGGAAAAGGAGCCTCAGCAGCTATTAATGGCAAGGGAGGAGAGGGTAAGACACCAAGTAGTAACAACCATGACAGTTGCGTGTTAGAACAATAAAGTTCGATTTGCTGAGTTCTCTGTAGATCAGGTCCAGGTTGCTCGAAAGGTGGATAACGCTGTCAACCAGATAAATCATTATCCAGCGGATAGCGTGGTTATCCCCTGGATAGCGATTTACCAGGTGAATAACGTTATCCAACCTTCGAGAAACTGGCTGCCATGTGTTAGATCAATGAAGAAGCAACCCGAAGGTCGTGGATTCGAATCATACACCTGCACGAGCCTCAATTTTGTTTTCCATTGGTGGAATGACCGTGCAGAAATATGTGTTGTTGTTGGGTTTTTTTGTTTTTTATGTCCACCAATATTTATCCCTGGTTTAGACGTATGTTACCTGAGGTGCATAGAGATCAATATAAGAATTACGAAAGTCTGCGCTGACAATTGAAGCTCTTTTGAGAAAAATTTAACCTAACAAAACTTTTCTTCTTCTCCAAAAAAAACGAGCTTACCAACCACGAAACTGATATGCAAACGTTAACGTCGATCAATGTTTTCGTTATTAACCTTACAATTATCTGGATGACATTTCATTGCATCTTGAGTGTCAATACGTCCCTCCACCCGGATTGTAAAAGCAATGCTCAAACCTTAATATCAAACTTAATTCAGGCGTCGTTGTTTCTCAAATTAAATTCCACTGCTACTTTCTTCAATAATTGAACAGTTTGTAAATCTCAGAATTTTAAAACTGCTTCGTTCTTTGAAATTTGCGATTGTGTGAGTCAT